CTGGAGATAGCAGAATAGAAGAGAAAGAACTGGAGAAGATAACAAAATACAAAGACCTACAAATAGAAATAGAAAGACTGTGGCAAAAGCAAGCAAGGGTAGTACCAATAGTAATAGGCTCCTTGGGTGCAATCCCAAAACAACTGGAGCACCACTTGAACACCATTGGCATTGACAAATTCGCTATTAGTCAATTGCAAAAGGCGGCCTTACTAGGAACTGCTTCCATCCTGCGACGATATCTGTAATACCATCAAACATCCACATCTGCCTATTCCAGGTCCTGGGTAAGGAAGGACTCGATAGGTAGAGAAAATGCCAAATCCAGTCTGAACATGTGGCTGACTGTGCGATGATCCATAATAATAATAATAATAATAATAATAATAATAATAATAATAATAATGGGTCATCGCACAGTCAGCCAGATGTTCAGACTGGATTTGGCATTTTCTCTACCTATCGAGTCCTTACCCAGGACCTGGGATAGGCAGATGTGGATGTTTGATGCTATTACAGATATCGTCGCAGAATGGAAGCAGTTCCTAATAAGGCCGCCTTTTGCAATTGACTAATAGCGAATTTGTCTATGCCAATGGTGTTCAAGTGGTGCTCCAGTTGTTTTGGGATTGCACCCAAGGAGCCTATTACTATTGGTACTACCCTTGCTTGCTTTTGCCACAGTCTTTCTATTTCTATTTGTAGGTCTTTGTATTTTGTTATCTTCTCCAGTTCTTTCTCTTCTATTCTGCTGTCTCCAGGCACTGCCACGTCCACTATCCAGACTTTTTTGTCTTTCTTATCGACAATTGTTAAGTCTGGGGTGTTATGTTGCAGGTGCTTGTCTGTTTGAATTCTGAAGTCCCAGAGCAGTTTAATTTTATCATTTTCTATGACTTTCTCTATTTTATGATCCCACCAGTTTTTGCTTACAGGCAAATGATATTTTTTGCAGATCTTCCAATGCACCATTGTTGCTACTTTGTCATGCCGCTGCTTGTAATCAGTCTGTGCAATCTTCTTGCAACAGCTTACCAAGTGGTCCACTGTTTCTTCAGCTTCTTTGCATAGGCGGCACTTACTGTCTGTTGCTGTCTTCTCAATTTTGACTTTGTATGCATTTGTCCTTAAGGCTTGGTCTTGTGCAGCCAGAATTAGTCCCTCGGTCTCTTTCTTCAATTTTCCTGCTATTATTATTATTATCGATCATCGCACAGTCAGCCAGATGTTCAGACTGGATTTGGCATTTTGTCTACCTATCGAGTCCTTACCCAGGACCTGGGATAGGCAGATGTGGATGTTTGATGGTATTACAGATATCGTCGCAGGATGGAAGCAGTTCCTAATAAGGCCGCCTTTTGCAATTGACTAATAGCGAATTTGTCAATGCCAATGGTGTTCAAGTGGTGCTCCAGTTGTTTTGGGATTGCACCCAAGGAGCCTATGACTATTGGTACTACCCTTGCTTGCTTTTGCCACAGTCTTTCTATTTCTATTTGTAGGTCTTTGTATTTTGTTATCTTCTCCAGTTCTTTCTCTTCTATTCTGCTGTCTCCAGGCACTGCCACGTCCACTATCCAGACTTTTTTGTCTTTCTTATCGACAATTGTTAAGTCTGGGGTGTTATGTTGCAGGTGCTTGTCTGTTTGAATTCTGAAGTCCCAGAGCAGTTTAATTTTATCATTTTCTGTGACTTTCTCTATTTTATGATCCCACCAGTTTTTGCTTACAGGCAAATGATATTTTTTGCAGATCTTCCAATGCACCATTGTTGCTACTTTGTCATGCCGCTGCTTGTAATCAGTTTGTGCAATCTTCTTGCAACAGCTTACCAAGTGGTCCACTGTTTCTTCAGCTTCTTTGCATAGGCGGCACTTACTGTCTGTTGCTGTCTTCTCAATTTTGACTTTGTATGCATTTGTCCTTAAGGCTTGGTCTTGTGCAGCCAGAATTAGTCCCTCGGTCTCTTTCTTCAATTTTCCTGCTCTTAGCCATTGCCAGGTTTTATTATTATCTGCTTTCCCAGCTATTTTTTTCATGTATTGGCCATGTAGTGCTTTGTCTTCCCATGCCTCTATTCTGTTCTTCATTTGGTCTTTCTTGAAGGCCAGTTTGGTCTCTCCAGTAGTTAGTAAGCCTTCCTGATATACTAATTTCAGTGCATCTTCATCATTGTTCTTCAGATATTCTTCCAAAGCCATTTTTTCTTCTTCAACCATCTGATGTACTTGTAGCATTCCACGCCCACCTATTTGCCTTGGTAGATAAAGTCTATCAATGTCACTGCGTGGATGAAGGGCATGATTCATTGTCATTATTTTTCTGGTCTGCCTATCCATTGCTTTTAGTTCTGCTTGAGTCCAGTCCACTATTCCAGCTGTGTACCTAATGACTGGGATTGCCCAGGTGTTGATTGCCTTTATGGTATTTCCTCCATTGAGTTTGGATTTTAAGATCTTCTTCACTCTCTTGATGTATTCACCTCTAATCTTTTTCTTGACTTCAGTGTGCTTGATGTTGTCAGCTTGAAGGATACCCAAGTATTTGTAGTACTCTTCCTCATCCAGACTCTTAATGTTATTTTCGTGGGGCATCTTGATTCCTTCAGTTTTCATTATTATTATTATTATTATTATTATTATTATTATTATTATTATTCAGTGAATAGACTGTAGCATAGAGTATTTGACATGTGACAGTGCAACATATATTCCGTGTAAAAAAAATTCCAGCTTTAATCCCTAGCATCTTCAGAGAGAGCGCTGTAGAAAGCTCTCTCTAAAACCTTAGAAAGGTAATATTCATCAGTATTGAAAATACCAGATTAAATAGCCAGTTTAAGGCATTTTTTTTAAAGGTTTCTATTTATTCTTTAAGGGGAATACTGTTCAGAAGCTAGGCAGATTTTTTTAAAAATATCATGATCTTGCTGTGGGAAAGAGGGGCTTCAAAATGAGTGGAAACACATATGAAGTATTTTTCTGATTCATTAAGGCAGCTACATCCTTTTCCAGAGTCATGTGGCTATTACAAAAACTATTTTGGCTGTCTCTGCCAGCATGGGAATTTGTTTTGCTTTACTGTGACAGTACGAAGCAGCTTACAAAACAATTGCAGAACTTGGAAGTTGTGGCTGCCTTAATGAATCAAGGGCAGCTGCTTTGCTATGAAGCATTGTGAAGCATCACTTTTGAAGGATTTGCATAGCCCTAAAATGCACATATTAGCTGTAAATTTGTTATGAGGCAGATTATTTTTTCTATTAGTCTTTTCTGTGTACAAGGCTTTATTGTTAACCTATGACCATCTTTTTAAAGACACATTTTTTTATCTGCAATAGTGGCAAACATTTTCTCTCTCTATGTATTTTGCATAATTAATTGGGAAATAAACAAGTTCTTCTGGTGTAGAATTTTAATATTTATAAAATGTTCCAAGATGTAATTTAGTTTATTTGGCTGATATTCTTGTAAGGGGAATAATTGGATTAAGTTCAACAAATATGATTTATTTATTCCATGTAATTAGAACAATTTATAATATTTATTCTTAATGTTCATTATAAGATTTTATCTTAGAATTTAATTTTTTTTCATAGTGGTCTGCGAAGACAACTTATATAGTAATGGGTGTCCAAAAATGCAAAGGGGCATAAGATGTCAAAGCTGGTACTTTGTCACATTAATCATAATTTTAATTGTGAGCCTGGCACTTGTTTCCTTTGTAATAATCTTAATAGGTAAGTAAATACACCTTAATCTTTAGGATATTGTTTGTAATGAATGACTAAGCTAGATGTTAATATCATGTTTTATGCTTGTAGCATGTTCTCTTCATAAACAAAATATGAACAAATGAATGCATATTGTATGCTGATTGTATGAAAGCCCTTTAACAGTGGTTGTATATTCAGGAGCTTTAGACCAACAGAAATTTAAAGTCTTTTACTGATTCAACATTGACTTGTTTTACAGTTGGAGTGATAGAATGGTGGTAATATACAATAACTTTATTAACCTTCATTCTGGTAATATTGTTTTATTTATTTATTTATTAAATTGTGTTTTTTTAAAATCCTGATTTTCTACCACATTTAAAGTGTTTAACAAAAAATATTCAAGCATTTACAATAATTTAAAACAATTTAAAAGACATGAAAGATTAGGAGCTTCTTAAACTTGCTTATTATTACATTTGAAAGCTGTAATGAACTATTGACCAAACATTGAACAGTAAAGAATTCTATAATGTGGGAAAATCCCAGTTCCATGTGGATGCTGGTTTGGTTTCAGGGAGAAGCACTATTTCTCTAAAAGAGAGAAGCAGCAACCATAACTCTCTAACACATCTTAAGAAACGGGAACATTTATGATGAAGCTGATAGTCTATTTGGTTCTTTGATCCCAAGCTGCTTACAGCTTTCAGTCATATGAATTATCTTGAATTACACCTAGAAAAAGATTCATATATAACTGAAATAAAAATGGTGTGATGCTTCCTATGTTTCTAATTCCAACTAGAGTTCCAGCAGTTGGACTAATTTTGGACTAATTCCAACTTATGAAGGGTCTTCAATGGCAGCCTTCAGCAAGAGTTTACAGTAAAGTAGCTGAGAAATTATAATGGTTTCTGGATTATATCAGCATATGTCTTGTGTTAATAACTAGATAAACCGATATTGAGTTGAGGAGCCAAACTGACTCAATCTATCCTTTATTTTTTACTATGGACTGATGGAAAGTAGTGAATGTTGCCCAACATTCTGTAGTTAGGATTTTGACTATCCTAAGTTAGCATGATTGCTACTGAACATACAGTATACTAGCACTGACCAACTTGTCATAAAACATTATATATTGCATTTCGATCACACTTAGACTGGTGTTTAAAATGGGTTATTTAATAGCTTGGTAACAATAATCATGGAGTTTGACATGGTAAGATTTGTTTAAACATAATCATTTCTTTCTCTTTCTCTTTGTTTCTTCTTTTTGTAACAGTACACACTGGAGAGAAGATGGATGAAGTTTTAAGAAAAATAATACTACAAAGGAGGAGTATTGATGATCTCAAGAAATTAAATGACATGATATTTCAATACTTTAACCAGACAGAAACAATAGAGATTATAGGAAATTTCAGCACAGTGCTCAAGAAGGACAATTGAGGCCTGACTTTTCAGGCTACTAATGACAGGAGTTCCCTCTGCTATGAAATTCACTCTCAAGTTGCTCATCAAATGTTTGATATATTCTATTTAACAAAGATTTCTATTAATCATTCTATAATATTCAGGTAAAGCTTGGCAAAATCAAGCTGTTTTTTAATGATGGATTTTCTGTAGCATTGATTTTTCTAAGTCCATGTTCATTCACATGGTTATTATCACTTAGATCAGGGGTCCCCAACCCCGGTCCACGGACTGGTACTGGGCCGCAGCATGCCAGCAACCAGGCCACACAAACAAGCAAAGCCCCATCTGTGGGATGCAGGCAGCACATAAAACCACGCTCCCTCCATGCAACCAGTTCCTGGTGCCCAAAAAGTTGGGGACCTCTGACTTAGATGGAGGAGCTTATGAGAAGTATATAATCATGGCAACATCTGGACTACCAAATGGGAATTGTGTTTTGTTCACATTTTTTAGATTAGTATATATATTAAATAAACTTGCATCATGAGATAGAAAGAAAGGAGAATGCATTGTTAATTTGAAAAGAACCACTTTGGAATCAGGCTGCTCAGTATTCATGAAGACCAGCTATTACTTAGATTCCAGTTGTGTGGCATCACTGCAGTTTGAGCTTCCAGCCATAGGAGAAGAAAAAGCAGAAGTTTTCAATCTGCAATTTACATGAATTATCTGATTTCCAGAGTTTGAGATTACCACAAAAGGTTCATATAAAGAAAGGAACTGTAAATAACTACAGAATCAGCTCAAGAATTTATATTTCATAACAGATTTATGGAAAGTCTTCCCATGTGTCCCAGCTACTCAGCCTTTTATTTCACATTATGCTCATTTGAAGCATTGAATGGCAATGAGTTCATTCTTGAAACAGCAATCTCACTTCTAATTCTAAAAAAAAAAATCCAATTTGCAAATTGATGGAACAATTTCTTTGGTTTTCCACTGGTGTAATTTCCTTTTCAACCTACTATTCTTTTTTATACATTGCAGGATATAGGGGTTTTTTTTTGCCGGTTGCTGTAGCAGAATATTTAAATAGTGGGTTAAAGAAACAAGAAACACTTTTCCTCAGGATTTATGATAATTTATGAACTGGCTAAACCAGGGTTTTTGAAACTTTTTCAAGTTCTAGTAGTTTAAAAAAAAAAAAAGAAACAAGCTTTAAGAGTAGAAATTGATAATAAAGTAAAAATGGCGTTAATTGTCACCTATCCACACCAAAAGGGCTGAGAAGGAGTTACTATCTGGAGAGACTCCCTAATTCTGTCTACTCAAAACTTCCCATTTATAGTTTGGGAGAAGGGAAAAGTGATTGGGGCAGGATGACTTTACAGAAAGCAGGGCAAGATAACAAAATGGCTGAAGCATTTTCTCAGATAATAATAAAAAATAAATAATAAAGCTGATTTTTGCCCTCTCAAAAAAATTGCTATTGATGTTCCTGATACTTTCATTCAACTGATCTTTTTTTAAAAAAAACAAAAACAAAAATCTAAAGAGCATCATACTAACTTTCTTTGCATGAAAAATATTAAAAATATTGCTTTTACGTAAAGCTTGTTTTTTTAAAAAAAAAATATTGGAAACAAAGACATGCTCCAAAACCTAACATGAGTTTGTCAAAAACAAATCATGCCAGACAAATCTTATTGCATTCTTTGACAAGGTGACAAAATTAGTGGACCAAAGGAATGCTGTGGATACAATTTACTTGGACTTCAGTACAGCATTTGATAAAGTAGATCCCAACCTACTACTAGATAAGATAGAAAAATATGGGTTAGACAGCATCACCACCAGATGGATTCATAACTGGAGGGAAGTATGCAGCGGGGTATCCCAAGGCTCTGTTTTAGGCCCAGTATTCTTCAACATCTTCATCAATTATTTGGATAAGGGGATAGATGGGGAACTCATCAAATTTGCAGATGACACCAAGCTGGCAGGAATAGCCAACACTCCTGAAGATAGGCTTAAGATACAAAAGTATCTTGACACACTTGAATATTGGGCACTATCTAACAAAATGAAATTCAATGAAAAAAAGTAAGGTTCTACATTTAGGCAAGAAAAACCAAATGCACAGGTACAATACAGGTGGTACCTCGCTCAATAGTAGTAACTGTGAGAGGGATCTTGGAGTCCTAGTGGGTCCTAGTGGACAATCACTTTTGGCAACTATAGTAGCGTGCTGTAGTTGCCAAAAAAGCTAACACAGTTCTAGGTTGCATTAACAGAGGGATAGAATCAAGACGATGTGAAGTGTTAATACCACTTTATAATGCCTTGGTAAGGCCACACTTGGAATATTGCATCTAGTTTTGGTCACCACAATGTAAAAAAGATGTTGAGCCTCTAGAAAGAGTACAGAGAAGAGCAACAAAGATGGTCAGGGTCTGGAGGCTAAAACATATAAAGAACAGTTGCTGGAATTGTCTATGTCTAGTTTAATGAAAAGAAGGACTAGGGTGACATCATAGCAGTATTCCAATATCTCAGGAGTTGCCACAAAGAAGAGGGAGTCAAGCTATTCTCCAAAGCACCTAAGGGCAGGACAAGAAGCAATGGATGGAAACTAATCAAGGGGAGTAGCAACCTAGAACTAAGAAGTGTCAGAAGTAAGTCTTCATCCTGGTTCATCCAGGCCGGGAATAAATAAGCAACATGGTGACTGCTTTGGGAAGAAGGTTACAGTTTATTGAAGAAGCAGTAAGATGGTCCATGCAAGAAAGAGCAGAGGAGAGGAAAGAGGAGTTGAGCACATGGGCAGTAGGTTTTTATACCCTCTAGCCTTGTTTGGAATAGTTTCCTGTTCCTGTGGCATGAACCTTGAGGCTATTTCTGAGTGTTTGTCTAGGCCTTGATATCTGTGGTTTAATCCTATTATCATATCCTGCTTCCCAGGTGATGGGCCTAATGACTCCTAGAGTTTGGGTAGGGCATGCAGATTTTCTCTTTGTCTTCTTGATTGCTCTGGCTTCAACTTTCTGATGGTTTTACATCTGCATTTGTATGGGGCTAGCTCTTGCTTGGGGCAGAGAGATAGATTTGGGGCCAGGTTTGGTTTTGAGGAAAAATATATTTTTCTGCTCTTTTTAATATTTTCTTTTCTGGGCTAACTTCCCTCAGAAGAAATCTCCTGACAATTAAAATAATTAGTGGAACTTGCCTCCAGAAGTTGTGAATGCTCCAACCCAGAAGTTTTTAAGAAGAGATTAGACAATAATTTGTCTGAAATTATATAGGGTTTCCTGCCAAAGCAGGGGGTTGGACTAGAAGACCTCCAAGGTCCTTCTATTCTATTCTATTCTATTCTATTCTATTCTATTCTATTCTATTCTATTCTATTCTATTCTACTCTACTCTACTCTACTCTACTCTACTCTATCTGCTCTGCTCTGCTCTGCTCTGCTCTACTCTACTCTACTCTACTCTACTCTTAGCACCATACCACTGACCATCAGATAAGGTACAGTTATCTAATAGCTTGGGTCTCAGACATTCAGTTTCTTTGTACTGCTTCTTTGCCAATTTGAATGACATATTATATTTCTTTCTCACATTTCTTGCCCTGTGCTTCTCTCTCAGTTCTGATAAGTATTTCCAGCATAAGAAGACTTTTTCTGGTAATTAGCTTCCACTAAAAAAAATAATTGCAGTAGACAGCCACCAACTCTACAAAAAGAGATCAATCAACCACAGTAGTAATATTTAATATATAAGTAGTCCTCAACTTACGATCATAACTGAACCCAAAATGTTTCTATGTGAAACATTTAAGTGTTTAACCATTTTACAACCTTTCTTGCCACAGTTGTTAAGTGAATCATTGTAGTTGTTAAATTAGTCAAAGTGCTGTTAAGTGAATCTGGCTTCCCCATTGATTTATCTTGTCAGAAGGTCGCAAAAGATGATCATGTGACCCTGGGACACTGCAACCATTATAAATATGAGTCAATTGCCAAGCATCTGAATTTTGATCACATGATCATGGAGATGCTATAATGGTTGTAGTTTTGAATATTGGTCATAAGTCACTTTTTTCAGTGCCTTGGTAACTTTGAACAATCACTAAACAAACTGTTGTAAGTCAAGGACTATCTATATTAGTATCTACAAGATGTTCCCTAGTCCAGGGCTTTTCAACCTTTCACCCATTGTATCACTTTTAGGATAAGGCAATATCCAAGTACCTCCAGTTGCCCAGCAAGGTGTCAAAAACTTGACCAAAAAAAAAAGGAAAAAAATAATAAAGTACAGGTAGTCCTTGACTTACAACAATTCGCTTAGTGACTGTTTGAAGTTACAACGGCATTGAAAAAAGCAAATTATGACCATTTTTCACACTTAATGCTGTTGCAGCATCCTCAGGGTCATGTGATTTACATTCGGATGCTTGGCAACTGATTCATACTTATGATGGTCACAGTGTCCCAGGGTCATGTGATCACCTTTTCCAACTTTTTGACAAGTGAAGTCAGTGGCCAGGGGGCATAACCAGCTCATCACTCAGGTTGCGGAGTGCCTGTGGGGGGTGCAGGTGGAGATGTGGGGGGATCTGTGAGTCTCTGGTGGAGGGGGTGGGAGAGGCATGGGCACCTTTCTTTCCTCCCTCTCTCCCTCCCATTGTCCCTTCCTTCCTTCTTTCCTCCTTTTCTTCCTTCCCTCCCTCTTTGCCTCCCTCCCTTCCATTGTCCCTCCCTCCCTCCCTTCCTCCTCTCTTTGTTCCTTCCTTCCCTCCCTCCCTCCCATTGTCCAGTGCTACGGGAGTGGGGAGGGCATAAAAGAGCCCGGAGGAGGCAATTGGAGTTTGGCCGCCGCTGCCGCCACAGCCGCTGTTGCTGAGCCAGATGGCTGTGCGACAGCAGCTGTTGCGGTTCCTGCCCACTGCTTCTCCTTGGCTGCTTCCTCTAAAAAGG